AATACAATGGGTAAAGGAAGATGACAACCCATTTCAAGAAAAGAGAAGAAAACCGAGAATGGAGATGATAGCTCGAAGCAACAGTCGAATATCCTCCTCTATCGTCAGCTCTTTCCCTGAAAAATGGTGAGATTCTTCCTCCTTGTCGTTTCCAACACTCAAAGATGTGTCTCTATTGGGATCTGTATGTGTCGACTAGGTCAAAATGTCTCTTTTATATCGGGTCCCCAATTTTAGGGCACCCAGCTGGAGGTTGTACGGACATGGTAACTTATCCCACTTATGGGATAATTACTGCACTGTAAATCCGTGCTCCTGCTATTCTTCGCTCTGGCTCTTATCTGCTTTGCCTTGGACATGTTTCGTCTACTCTTTCCTGGGCTCAACGCTTTATTCATGCTTTTTTTCTTCTCTGCCCAAACCTGTGCAATTAAGCCCAAAAATAAGAGAGTTTAATATAATTTTTAGCCAAAGCATTTAAGACAAAGGACTTTAGCTAAAAGTTTGATTTATAAGACTTTTCATGATGTTTAAGAGCTAAAACCGATACACTTTAACATTTATTTGTATAAAATCACCCAAATAATTACTAGAATAACTCTCTTTTTGAGAGTTATCACACCCCCAAACATAAAATTTTACTTGTCCCCAAGCTTTGTATAGATTCTGACATTTGTTATTTCCTTCTCAATACTTTCTAAATTTATCAATTGTATTTTTTTTTCATTTGTATAGATTATTTTGTAGCTGGCTGATTTACCACAATCTTTGGCCTTAATTCTTGGGAAAATATTGAGGGCTTGCCTCATGTAAATGAGTTCCATTATTGTACTTCTATAAATCAGATTGTCTTCTCTCGCTCTAATCAAGTTGTTAGAGAGCATTTTTGTAACAACTCGTATTTTCTAATACGATCATTCTAACAATAATGCGGAAGTATAAACAAATAAACACTATATCAAAGGAAAAACTTCTTTATTTAATATGATACTATGACAAAAATGGGGACAAGTCCAACTTTGAAACATAAACCTTCACTATAATAAATCCAAAGATTAACTAACAGAACTAACTAAGTTCTCATAAGCTAAAAAAAAGGAAAATACTAAAATTTTTAAACTCCTCGTGCTAGAATACTATTCCTTAATCACTATCTGATCAGTCATTCAAACCTTCATCTGAAAACATTTAGTAAATGGAAAAATGAGTACAAAAAATACTCAATAAGCAATTACCATATCGAACATTGAAATTCATTTTTCCTTTCAAAACATTTGTAACAAAAATACAAACAGATCAAAACTCTTAAAAGTCCTTCTAAAACATTCAGTTCAACTTTCAAACTTTCGAATAAACTAAATCGTTCAAACATTAAAAACGATCTTACATTCATTCATACTTTCAAAATCAGAGTGGGAGGTTGAATTATTTGGGTAGCCTACATAACATATGTGGTTACCCGTTAGTAACACCAATCAATCAGTAGCTTATATCAGAATTGTCGAATTAATATCAACTAGAACAAATAGAATGGTTACTTAAGTGTGAGGTCATGTGAGTGAATAATACACACATGAATATTCATTCTCAAGGAATGACAAACTACAAAAGTGTCTTCTTACAAATAAGCAAAAACAGAAATCCATTAATTCCAAATTAGGCTACTACCCCAAATAAGCAAAACGTTCCACAAAACAAAAATATGGCATATCCGAATAGCCCTATCAAATCAATCATAAATATCTTTCAAATAAATATGCAAAACAAATACATACTTTCAATATCAAATCAGTTCAAAGCATTTAAATAATTTCAAACAAACTTTATCGAATCATACAAAACATAATTTCAAATGTTTTACAAATAACCATAATATCAATTACCAAAATATTTATCAAATCCATAATAAAACTTCAATTTAATATGCAAGATATCAATTTCAAATCTTCATATCAAATCCAAAATAAATTTTATTTTTGGAAAGGATATGACAAATTACTTACAACACTTTTTCGAAGGATATGGTAAATCACTTACAACATTTTTCAAACGGATATGGAAATTCACTTACAACACTTTTCGAAGGGAAACAACAAATATCCAAAATCAATCCTTAAATCCTATTTAAGGATTTAAAATTCAACTAATTACTAAGCAAATCTTATCTACCTAATTTTCCCATTCAAAACAATTTTTTATGCAAAACAATTAGGAAAGTATGGATTTGGGGCTACAAAACCAGATCTGAAAACTGAGTTAAAAAACCTTTAAATTCAACAATGACAAACTTTAAAATTATAAGAGTCGTAATCAATACGGACTAAATTTTCAAAAAGTTTCTCTTTAAAAACCTTCTAAACAATTGAAAATTTGGGAATTTTAAATCTGGAAAATTTTTTGTTTTATAAAATAAAACTTTCAAGAATTTTCCACAAAAACAATTAACAATTTAGTGATTTTTATAGAAAAATCAGATCTGAAAACTGTGTAGAAAACCTTTAAAACTTGGTAAAAACATATAATTTTTCAAGTAAAAATCATAACAATAAACTTTAGTTTATGAGACATAAATAAGTAAACTTTTTATGCAAAAAGAGTCTCAAAATAGCCCAAAAAAACAGTCTCATAAAGAACAAGATTCAAACAAAAAATTTTGGAGAATTTTTAGGACAAAAAATCTTAAAATCTTTTATTCTATAAACAAATACCTCAAACTTTTCCCAATAAACTGAATTAAAGAACTACATATCAAGAAAAATAAAACTAAAATAATGAAGAAGAAAAACTTACCGATCTTTGAGAGAAAATACCAAAATTCTTCTTCTTTTGTTTTCTTTTTCTCTTGGAGAGAAAACTAGGTTTAGCAGAAAATAAAACTTAGGGTTTAAGGGCTTTTAAAACAAACCTAAAGAAACTTTTTTAAAAAAGATAACATAATAAGATAAATACTTAATAAAACTCTTTCTTTTTTATATATTTTTTTTCAATTCCAAAAGCAAATTATCTTTTAAAAATAATTTTTAAAACAAAGGTTTATCTTTGAGAGTATAAAAGAAAACAACTAAAAAAAATCTAAATATATATATATATATTTTTTTCGGTTGTTACAATTTCTACCGTGCATTTGGTTAATGCTTCTAATCAAAAGGTCGTAAGTTCGAATTCTATCCCTATTTGTTGTACTATAAGAGGCGGCATAAGAGACAACATAGTGACAGTCCATTTACAAACACTTTATTTTCGTATTATTTTTAGAATAAATTTCAAATATGAAATATTTTTAAAATAAGTTTTAAAGTGAGTAATATTTAAAAAAAATCCTAAGTCAAGTTGGTAAGAATGCATTTTTTCCCAAAAAAGAATAGAAGGAAAAAGTATATTCCAATTCATTTTGACTTTCAATTTATGAGGGAAGCATAAAAATTAGAGGTGTAAGTTGGTCAGTTCGGGTTCGTTTCCATACAAAACCGACCCGACCCGAAAATGTTCAGTTTTGAGTCGGTTCGGGTCGAACCGAGTCGGTCCGATTTCCTTTTCTTTTTTCTCTCTCTTCAGGGTTTCTCCTAAGTAGCGATATAATGACAAAAAAAGAAAAAAAAACAAAAAAACCTTTAAGATAAAACCTAGCTTCAAAACACAAAACTGAAATTTCCATAAAAAATCCACATTCTACAAAATACATCAAAACTCATCTTGAAAATCAAACCTAATTTCAAAATCAAACTCACCTTCAAAATACTGTTGGAGAAATATGCATAGAAAACTTACGGAAACACAAAATTAAAAATCTGAACCCAACGTAGCATTGTTTCCTTAAGACAATTTTGTTCCCTCTACTGTGCTCAAGGTTTCATGAACAATTATCTCCCAGGATAGGACGGATATACTAACCTGTGAATGCAGCACTTCACACACAGGACTCAATGAACTCACAGTATTTAAGTATTCTTACAGAGAAAAAGAGAGAATTTCGAGGGATCAGTTTTTCTTTCTTTCGAAACTGAGAAGAATCATATATTTATAGACTATTTGTAGTCATTCAAATAGTCATATCATTTCATGTAAAGTTATATCTTTTGATAAAAGCCCATAACCAAAGACGTACCAGTTCATGAAAAATTGTGTTTCTTCAATTTTAACAAAAATAATTTTATTCAAAAAATTCCAACAATCCCCCACATGAATAAAATTTATTTTTTTTTAAAAACGTGTACGATTACTCATGAAGAATAACTACACTAGGATAAGTAGTCTAAGACTTTGAACTTTCCTTAGTAAAACTATGGAGTTTACATAGCCGATTAGTTGTTAAAGAACTTTGAACCATCAACTTTTTAAGAGTAAAGCAAGTCCATAATAATTACATAGATATTATTCGAAATACTAATGGTTTTCATGTTTGTATTCATTTTGGCCGTGAATACCGCCTGGTTTCATGAGTATTTTTAGAGAATTCAGCCTTAAAAATTCTCATAGAAGCGGCCCCTTCACACCTACATAGGTGGCTTCTTTAAAGAGTATCATGACAATACCCCACTTTTATATAAGAGCTAAAGAGTCGCATATCTTAACCTCATCCGTTTCCAGGTTAACACTAACTTTTATAATAGGAACGGTTAGAAATTTATAATTCCTTTTCTTAGTGTTCCTCTGAGTTATATCAAACCTTGAGCACCGTAGAGGAACAAAATTGAAAACAACGCTACGTTGAGTTTGGATTTTTAATTTTGTGTTTCCTTAAGTTTTCTATGCATATTTCTCCTACAAATACAACAAAAACTCAACTTCAAAATCAAACCCACCTTCAAAATATAACAAAAATACACCAAACTCTACCTTCAAATAAATAAATAAACACATCCATAAAGGGAGATGGTGCGATCCAACATTTGAAATAATCGAATCGAACCGAATTGGTTTTCCTTTCACCCCTAAGAAAAATAATGGAGGATTCCAATCTGAAACGTGGAAAATAGATATCCAAAACCAAAACACAAACAAATACATTTAACTAAAATCGCAATCATCACCGAGAAAGATTCCAATCAAGATTTTCCCAACGACGACCACCAATGGTGATCTCATCTGCAACTTTATCCTTTACCTCTTCCCTTCCGAGGCCTCCTCTTTCCCCTCCATTCTCCTCCTCCAAATCCGCCTTCTTCGCCAACCATGCTTTGCTGCTGCGTACGACCACACCCACAACCACGACCCACACAAGAGCTCATAAGGGTCTCACTTGTAACGCTTTGTTCGGACTCGGAGTCCCTGAACTTGTTGTAATCGCCGGCGTCGCCGCGCTGGTTTTTGGCCCTAAGAAGTTGCCGGAAGTCGGGAAGAGTATCGGGAAAACGGTGAAGAGCTTCCAGCAGGTACGTGGTTTCAATTGATTTAGTCCGTACTGTGTATAATTGTCTGGTCTTCGAATTGGGGATTCGATGAAACGAATAAATTTACTGAAATTTAGAGAGAATGTGTTGTGGATGTTTGGCTTTCTAGTCACTGCACATACTTCTGTTGAATATTGTTTTACATATTTTTATGAATGAGATTCAATTTGTTCATGCGTAGGTAGTTTTTTCATTGTATGCGAAGTCTTGTGTCCTTTTAATTTGTAACTTAAACTATTGGGGAATCCTTTGCTGATTATAGAGTATCGAATGTCCGCGAAGGGGCTTGCTGATTTTAGATCATGGAAAGGAGGGTGTTGCTTAACCCTGTATTCACTGGACCTCCCGTTAAAGAAACATTAATCGATATTAATCCTGAAAAAATTTCTTGCCACCCTTACCAGTTACCTGGAGTTTTATAATCCACCCCAAAGGTGCATCTAATTGGTGTATTTTGCGCCAGAAAGTTGGAAGACCAAGCCCACTTGTTCTTCCGTTCTTCCATTGCTCCTTCAGTCAGAAGCTTTGGTCTTCCTGTCTTAGAGAGTTCAATCTGGTGTGGATATTTTATGAGTCTGGCACGCTAAAACCTTCATCAACCCCTCAATGGCCATCCTTTTAAACTGAAAGTAAATGTGTTGTGGCAGTATACTATCAAAGCCCTCATATGATAGGTGTGGTTGGAAAGACTTTTGGCATCTTTCAAATTCCTTCTGAAAAATAGAGTGACGTGGAATATTGTTCTGTACCAAGTTACATTTCGAAGTTCTTTTTCAAAATATTTTTTGTTCTATGGTTCTTTTTTGATTAAATCCAAGTGGAGGAACCTTTTGTAATTCTCTTAACTCGTATGAGCTGACTTCTTATCACCCTTGTACTTTTGCTTTCTTAATGAAAGGTTTCTAGTTTCATATAGAAAAAGGCATGGCCATAAGCTTTTTTTCTTCATTTTCTTTGCTTATTTTGTGCCTTGATCTCAGTTTCTTAGATCCCCTTTTGCAATTCATTAAAATTTTCCAGAAAGATAAGGCAAAGAAAGTAAAAAGAAAAAAATGAAAAACACTGCCTCCCAGTTACGCGAATCTAGGCCTTAATGGCTATCATTGGGCACCCGCAGCCCCATATTTGCTTTTCATTCACATAGGCCCGCTGGTCATCAACTGCTTCCTTGGGTTTGAAATTACCCAAGTTTTCTCATGTCACTATTCTTTACTATGAAAAATCTAGGTTTCACTAATAGAGTAATCAATGGTCTCCCCTGTTTTAGACTTCTTCAAAAGTGTCTTCATTCACTTACTTCATAACTCAATTGTCTTGATAGACGTTCCTTGACCTCAGAGACCTATTCCTTTCTTTAATGATAACTTCAACAATACTAATATCCTTAACTTCAAAAGGCCTTCCCAACCAGAATATATCTCTATTAGAGGTCAAGGACTGGTTGACTTCCAAAAATAGTTTCTCCCTTTGTTTAGTTTCTTATGGATGGGTGGAAAACTGTTAGACCACCAATCATAAAGACATATAATAGGAAGGGCAAAGGGGTAATTGTAGAGGGCCATAACGGCCAAGAGAGAGAAGATGGTACGAGTGGGGCAATGTAAGAGTGGACCGTTGTCTATAAGGACAGGGAATGTAGGAGGGAGGAGATCATCCTAGTTTTATGCTTTTGCAGCTTTTGTAGTTGGTTGGAGAGATTACTCACCCTCTCGGATTGGTGAGTCGGTTTTGTATTGCCCACGGGCTCTTTTCTAAGGAATCAAACAGCTTGTGAGGGTTGATACCTCACAAATTGGTATCAGAGCGCGTCGATTCGGGGGAAAATGACGGTCAAGGAATTGGAAACTCGTTGTGAAACGATGGAGAAGGATGTCACTGTGGTGAAAATGGAGGTTGCAACACTGCATCAGGAGTTTGCCGAGCAAAAGAAGGCACTCCAGGAAGTCCATGTTACGCTGAAAGCATTCATGGCACAGATCCTAGGCGGAACCACTCCGTCCATGTCAATGATTTCAGGAGAGACTTCAGTCACGAAAGGGAAAGCAGCGGAAGGGGAAAACATGGAGAAGGAAAATGGAAACCAGGGCCTCGACAAAAACCGCTTCAAGAAAGTGGAGATGCCGGTGTACACGGGCCCGGAGCTGGAGTCATGGATATTCAGAGCCGAGCGGTACTTCGAAATACAAAAGCTCACGGACGACGAAAAGATGATTGTGTCAATAATCAGTTTCGATGGAATAGCCCTGGCATGGTATCGATATACAGATAACCGCGAGAAGTTCCGCGACTGGAATGATCTCAAGGGACGTCTGAGAGACCGTTTTCATCCGGCGAAAGAAGGAAGGCAGTGTGCTCGTCTGTTGTCCATTAAGCAGGAGGGAACCTTCGCCGAATACCGTCAGACGTTTGAGGCGTTGGCGGCAGCCCTTCCGCAACTCTCCGACGAGGTGCTGGAGAGTGCGTTCCTAAATGGATTGGATCCGGTGATGAGAGCAGAAGTCCGAGCCCTGGAGCCCAAAGGATTGGATCAAGTAGTCCGCAAGGCCCAACTCATAGATGACATCAACACGGCAAGTCTGGAGGCGGAGGGACAAGTTACAGCGGAAAAGGCCCAGAACGGCCCAACTACGACAAAGAATACATCCAAAACCCTAGAGGTAATACCTACTCGAACGGTAACCCTTTCCAGTAAAGTGCATAACTCTGTGCAGGGGGCTGGAACAATGCAAGCAGCCAAAAGGGAACCACCCTTCAAGAAACTATCAGAGGCTGAGTTTCAGAAGAGAAGGGAACGTGGATTGTGTTTTCGCTGCGAGGAGAAGTATACCGTGGGACACAAGTGCAAGAATAGAGAACTCAGAGTCTTTGTCCTCCACGACAACGAAATGTTCGAACTCGAGGAAGAGACAGCGCAAACGGAGAAACAAGAGGACAGCGAAGCTGTGAATGGCAAAACAGTTGAATGTCAGCTCAACACGATCGTGGGGATTTCTTCTCCCGGAACGATCAAAGTCAAAGGAATGATCTAAGAAAGGGAAGTGGTGGTATTGATAGACTGCGGAGCAACTCACAACTTCATCTCCATCGCCTTAGCAGATGAACTAAAACTGATAAAAACAGAAACGTTAAGCTATGGAGTGATAATGGGCTCCGGAACAGCTATCAAGGGGAATGGCATTTGCAAGGGAATCGTGCTGTCCTTACCAGAACTGTCGGTAAAGGAAGACTTTCTCCCCCTGGAATTGGGCAAACTGGATGTAGTTTTGGGAATGCAATGGCTCCAAACTATGGGGAAAATGGAAGCGGATTGGCCGGCACTGACCTTGCGGTTTAACAGAGGGGATAAGAAGATTACAATTCGAGGGGATTCGACCCTAGCACGACTCGAAGTGTCGATGAAAAGATTGGCTAAGCAATGGGAAGCCCAAGATCGAGGCTATCTGGTAGAGATGAGAGCACTCAATGCCACAGAAGATGAAACAGAGAATACGGCAGAGGAAATATCACCGGTAGTCGAGGAGCTGATCCATGAGTACTTGGATATCTTTCAAAAACCCGAGGAATTGCCACCCAACGGAGCGATAGATCACCGAATTCCCCTGAAGGAGGGACAAGGCCCGATCAATGTGCGCCCCTACAGGTACGCCCATGTGCAGAAAGAAGAGATTGAAAACCTCATCAGTGAGATGCTAGACGCAGGGATCATCAGGCCGAGTGTGAGTCCCTTCTCGAGTCCGGTTATCTTGGTTAAAAAGAAAGATGGAAGCTGGCGCTTCTGCGTGGACTATCGGGCCCTCAACCATGCGACAATCCCCGACAAGTTTCCCATACCCGTGGTGGAGGAGCTTCTTGATGAGTTACATGGATCAACCATTTATTCCAAATTGGATCTACGATCAGGCTATCATCAAATCCGAATGGCCGAGG